CACAAATATTTCCAAATATATTTGTCTGGGCCCCCAAAAAAAAAAGAAAGAGCAAGAGTAGAATGTGTGGCATCCATGTGAAGGGCAAATAACTTTCGATGCGATGGCCTTAGTCTGTGCGCCCTGTTTGGCTCTAATTGGCCGAGCGGTGCGGTGCGGTGGTTGGCACTCTTTAGTTCGGCCTAAAAGAATTATGTTTGATTAAACAAATGATGATCAAATGCTTCCATATTGTTAACACATTGCTGCATCGCTGGGCTTGGCACCCATTTCGCTCCTGTTCCTCCACCGTTCCACCACCCTGTGGAGCTGTGTAATTGCAACACTTTCAACTTCCGTTTTGATATAATTGAAAGTGGTCATTCGAGCGGTTAGGCCATTCAAATACTGGGAGCAGTATTCAAATGTGCGACACTTTCGTTTTCATTTTCATTCGGTTTCGTCACCGCATACATCCAAAGATCATGGGAATTCATTTTGTTAATTAGATTACCAATTCGATTCGATATCATCTCTCTATTAAATGCCGCTAACAATTGCAATCAATCAGTATATTTATTGTTTCGGAGGCTGCACAAAAACTGCGATCATAACTCAACACTTCACACAGTCCTTTTATAAGCATTTTCCCATGTCAATCTGCCACAATCTACGAATGCGAATGTATAAGTAAGAGAGTTGACTTTTTTTTTTTTTTTTTGTATATGTTTTTGTCCGCCAACCTGTGCAGCCGTGGCTGTGCCTGTGTGTGTTTGTCTCATATTAAGCTATGAATTTTCATGTTATTGCAACTAATTTTCATTTAATGCGTTTGTCGCGGACTCACAGGCCAGTGGTTTAGCTTGCAAAGGGGTCTAAAGTTGCAGTAGAGCAAGCCCCCAAAAGCCCCTTCGTGTGCCACAGCTCTGTATGGGACATACACTTTTAATTGTAGACCATAAACTATAGTATCGCATATGCGTATCGTATCTAATGCCCCGGCCGAAACGGGTTTGCAGAGGAAACCGCACAGACATGGACATTAGATTTGCCCGACTCCCAGTGCAGAGTCTACAGTCCACTGTCCCGGGGGCTCCCAGCTACCAGCTACAAGTCCACATCTCAGATTCACACAGTCGCCAATCGGCAATGTCCGCTGGCTAACGAAAGTGGTTGCACCCGATTCGAGCAGCAGTTGTCCACCGTCTGTCAGTCAAGGCAGCAGCCACAGCACACAGCAGTAGCCATTCAGTCAAACGCTCGTTCATGCATGTCGCAGAGCCAACTCCGACTCCAACTCCATCTGCAGCTTCAGCTTGAGCGACTCCAACTCTGGCTGGGGCATAATTCAATTTCCGCTGCTCGGACCCAGCTCCGTCCGCTCCAGAGTGTATCAGTTACCCATATTGACACTTTGATTTAGTGCTTACATGCACCGTTGGCCATTTGCTACGATATTGATTTATATTTAAAGCTATTGATACATTTATATTTCGAGCTCCATTCGATTGAGCGATTAATGCCGCAGGCAGCTCTAAAGTTTGTCAACTTATGTCAGTGCCCGCTGAAAGCCTTCAAGAGTGATAGAACGGAGACTGGGACTGAGACTGAGACCGTGCAGTGCTGTGCGTTCTTATGTTGCATGCTACCCACTGATTATGCCGCACTTTACAAAGCAACACCTCTGAGCAGCAACTATGATTGGGCCTATGATTATTGCCAGTCTGTCTGTCTGTCTGTCTGCCTGCCTGTCTGCCTGCGTGTGTGCAAGTATCTAACAGCAGCCATCGCGTGCAGAGTGTGGGCTCGTGCGGCCCGCCTCCTCCTCGCTTGGGTAATGATGATGATAGCTTTTTGATGCTAATGATAGACAACAGCTACGATGCAGAGCACCAACTGGGAACGCAAAGAGATAGCCACAGATAGCCAGAGATTCTATGCACTCTCCACTGTAATCCCAATCCCAATCGGAAGTGCCACAATTGTCGGCTGCCTCCGACCGAAAGTCCCACAATTGCTGGCTGCCACCGACTGAAAGTGAAATGTGTTGTGGCATCATCAACGATAATCGTTCAATCAATTAAGGCTAATTACAATTGACCAAATCTGCATGGGAAAAGCATATATTCGCTGTGCCCCGTCGATTATGCAAAATCAAAGAACAACAACAGTTATCTGCCCGAAACGCGATGATCGGCGGCCAATTTCGTGGACCTTCGTGCCTTGAACCAATTTTATTTAGCGGCGGCAAACCACCAAAAAAAAAACCTTCAAAATTGCAGTAGCCATCGATGAGCAGAGACCGCAACACAACAAAAAACAAATTTTGATATTCTAATTTTCGTAGCTGCATTATGATTTATAATTTGAAATTATTGGAGCTACTGGCTACAGCTCCCAGGGATCAGGGATCAGGGGCTGCCTGTCTCACATGCAAATTCGGCAGACCTAACGGGAATGCATTTTGTGGCCCAAAAGTGCGTGAATTTAGTTGGTAGCTGGAAATGTGTGTGTTTATCTGTCTGGTCTGGCCTGGGCCCATTTGCATATGTATCAAGCAAAAATATAACTAATTGAGGAGTTTCGTTGGCTTTCGCTTTTTATGAGTAAACTCCAAAGTATGAGGACCTTTCAAGGTTAATCGAGACTTCGATTAGGGGAGTGATACAAAGTTGGGGCAGCAGCCAAGGATACTCTTCATTATATTTAATTTAGCAACCCCTAACCAAGCAGACAATGACTTTGCCCAAAAAAGAACAGCAACGAGCAGGATGAGTTTTGAAAGTGCCATAATTTGATGAGTAATTAATGTCAAAAATTTGTAAAGTGGCCTTATCGCTGGAGCGTCTCATCTCTCCTCCTGACTCTCTCTCTCTCTCGCTCTCTGTTTATCAACTCGCTCCAGATCTAAGGCCAAAAGTGAAATGATGATACTCGTGCCTAAGTGAAAGCAGCTGTCAGCACAAAACAATTAAACTGTCATCAGTTGTGCCAAAAATGTTGGCTACATTTTTGAAATTTGATTTTAATTGGCCAAAATGTGGGCGCAGCTGCTGTCACAGGAACACAGAACAGGAAGCAACCCCTTGGCGGGAGGTCAAAAATATCATTTAGCATAAACCGCTAAAACTAATTTCCCTATTGGATGCCGCAGTGTTGCGCCATTTTGCCACTTAACGCATCATCACTTTGGTTAATTTGTTGCCATTTGCCGTTGCCTGTGCTGCTGCTGTTGTTGCCCCCTTCTGATACTGATTGCCTCATCGATCTGCTGCTATGACCTTGGTCAAGCTAATGATGCAGCAGCCACAGACGGAACAGAACTGAACCGAACCCAACCGATGCAATGCTGATGGAGCTGTAAATTTGCAACACAAATGCACGAACAGTACACGGCCATCCCCCAGCAACCGATTGCAATCAACGGCGCTGCATCTCTATCACATCAGCGCATTGCATTGAATCATTGATGCAGCAGCAGCAGCCAGCAGCAGCCAGCAGCAGCTTGCATCATTACCAATGACTCGGATTGGGGTTCGCGTTCGCCTGCTTCGTTGCAGCATCCGTCGCATCGCTCGGACTTTGGTTTTGGGTTTACTCTGCTTTACGCGCTTCAATGATTTGCTTGCGGATGCCGCAACATGGTCTTGATTCGAGTCTCGGACTGTCTGCCTCTACCACTCTGCCTCTTGCCGATTAAACGTATGCAACTCTTAACCTTCGTTTAAAGCTGCTCTGATTGACAACATCAATCGATGCAACGAACCTGCACAGCGTTGCAAGATCAATGCTTGCAGACTCACACACACACACAGAAACACAAAGAGGCAGAGAGGCACAGTTGCAGGGGCAGGCCAACGGTTTCGGTTTGCTTTAGGCTGTAACACTGTTGCAACTAAATTTGTTTTGCGGCTCAGCAAGTGTTTCTTGGCTTCTCTCAGCTGCTAATTGTGTGAGATTTAAATCGGGGAAGCACTAGAAAATGTAACACTTAACACTCTCTTTTAGATATCACACCACAAAAGAGATCTCTCTCTCTCTCTCAAACCCATAATTATAAGCTTTGCAAGAAGTTTTCCATTAGCCTTTTGCCATGGCATTCGACAGACAAAGCACACTTAATTACCAGAACCACCCAGAAGTCTGTGTGGCTGCCAAAGACTGGTAGCCAGCGTTGGGTGCTTAGCACAAATTACCAACTTTAATGCGACAGCCGGTTTGGGCATGCAAGTTGGCAAAAATTGACATGACAACAGAGAGGCAATACGTCAATACTACGAGTGAGTATGTGCCTCACACGGAGTATTCAAAGAGAGCCCTGTGCGGGACATACTCGTATTTTGGGTGTTAAAATGGATATAGCTGCATTTTATTATGATTATTATGATTTTCGACTGGCGGCGGGCAGCATCACCAGGCAGCAGCCGGCAGGCGGCAGGCGGCAGGCGGCATTGCGGCAGCAGGAAAAAATTACAAATCATTGACGAGTGAGCGGCACTAAACTCATCAGCAGAGATGTGGCAGGAGGCAGGAGGAAGGAGGCAGTGAGCAACCGGTAGCAACGGTAGCCGATCGGTGGCAACTCCGACTTCGACTCGCGTTAATGGCCAAAAGCAGAAGCAGAAGCAAAAGCACAGCCCAGCCAGCGTTTGGGGGCTTCTTCAATGTGAATTCCGTGCATTTGCAATCGCACTTGGCTGGGCGACTACGTCCGGTCGTTGCTACAGTGAATGCTGCTGCACCGTGCAGAGGAACCCAGTCATAAGGCAGCACTCCTCCCGCCGAATACCCACTGTAGACAGTCGCTTCTTGTGCTGCTGATGACGACGTTGAAATCTTTAACGCGTCTTGCGCTCTGGCATGATCATTATCGCTGGTTTCGTTTTACGCAACTTCTTTGCCACTCATTTGGCTCTGGCAACTGCCACAGCAGCAGCAGCAGCAGCAGCAGCTACTAAAGCGACGTACGAGAACGAGTACTGTCGACAATGGCCAGTCGTCTGGGGCCAGCAGCAGAGCAGTCAGATGGTTTTGGGTGATCCATCAATTGTACTCCCAGTTGTGTCCCAGTGTCCAAATGCAACAGTTGTCCATGATGTATGCTCATTGCATTGGCTCTGGCTTTGGCTTTGGCTCTGGCTCTGGCTTTGGCTCTGGCTATGCTCTGCTTTGCGCTGCTCTCCCGCGTTTTTCTGGCTCTGGCATTCTCAGTCTCGTTCTTTGTTGGCCAATTTGATTTGCTACCATTTGGAAGACAAGTTGGCGGCTTCTGATTGCTTGTTGTGGTGGGCATCAAAAACAAATAAAAGCTTAAATTGTTTTCGGATCATAAAGCAAAAAGGGTTTAACCCATTGATTGTACGTTGATTGCCATTTATTGCCCCCTCCTACCGCTTTTTTGGCGGACGGAAGGATGTCTTTGTGGCACTGGGAAATGGGTGGTTTCCTCTCGTTTTGCTTTTTGGCGGTTTTACAGCTTCACAGTTATGATTGCGGCTAATGAGTGGAGCAGCAAATCAGACCCATAATCTTTGGTAATTGTGTGAAACGATTAGCTCAGCAGCTGTTCTGTTCTTCTGATACACAGTGATACACTTTGTGTACTTTCTTTGGGGCGTCGAAACAGTTTTCCTTACTCAACGAGGCACCAGACATTACGTATACGAGGTGGGCTTTGCGCTGTAATTAAAATCAGCAACAAGATGGAAACCGAGCAGACAAGACATTTACGAGCCATAAACTCTCAAGGCTTGCTTACATTGTAGCGGGCCACAAAAACTAATTGGGTCAAAAACGAGATGTAACGCACTCCGCAACGAGAGAGAGAGAGAGAGAGAGGGTCAGAACTGTAGCACCTGTTGGCAGGTGAGCCGCAATGACGTTTCACTTAGGTCTCTCGCGCGGTAAATGCATTTGCAATACTGCAATACTCAAATAAATAAATAAATACAATTTTGACAGAAAGATGACACCACAAATGCCAGGGGCATTATTGCATGAGGGGAAAAGATGATGATGATGACAATAGAAGTGATGTGACATGGTCGATAGTGTCAGCTCCTCGCTGCCCTCCCTGTGATGTTGGCCATCATCATCATCACACAGCACCAGCACCAGGAGTCACTTCTGTGGCGCACCTTTGGCTCTACCTTTTACCTCTAATTGTGCCTCTGTTTTTGGGGGCACTCTACCTGGTGTACCTGGCAGCAGTTTTCAGTTTTCAGTTGGCAAATGGCATAAATTTAAATTTTAATTTACTGCGTCGTCAATTGAAGTCGTGCTCGGGCACTTGGCTCGGGCAACTCGTCTCCCAGTCGCGAGTTGCGAGTCCCAGTCCCAGTCCCTGTATCTGTATCTGTCTCTGACTGTAGCTGTGGCTGCGGCTGTGTCGTTGGCTCTCTCTCTTCTGGTCTCTGCTATTTCATTTCATTTATTTATTTTGAGCTACTTGCAAAATAATTGCATAAATAAATATTTTAAAAAAGGTATCCAGCCTGTCTCCAGCTCTCCCTCTTCTCACTCTTCTCTCTCACGCACACACACACCGCCTCCTCTCTCTCCTTAATTTGTTGTATTTTGATTACAATCGTTCGTCCGGCTGGCAGATGTGGCTGCCATGCCACAGATCCCAGCCAGCAGGCAGCCAGCCCGCCCGTCAATGCCTCCTCGCACCAGTAGATTGAAGTGCGGTGATTACCCCTGTGTGTGTGTGTACCTGTCCACTGGCCCAGATCTTGCTCTCTCTCTCTCTGTCTCTGTCTCTGTCTCTGGTTTCACATGCTACAATTTATCAATGAAACGATGGATTTGTCGTTGCGAGTGTCTCTGGCATTAGGCGCATGTAAATTTCGGCACAAATGTGCAAAATGTCAGCACAAATTGGACACAAAATAAACAACAAACAGAACTAACCAAATGCATATTTCATTGAATAATAATACTGTGTCCCCTTCTCCATTCTCTTTTGAGCCGTCATAACATCCCATAACATCTTAATCCCTCTCCCCCCCCCCAAAAAAAAAGAGAATCAAATCTTATCCGAAGACGACACCAAATTGACATATGCACACACGATTAACAAGTGTTTAAATCACAATAAAACTTTAAATCCCCACAGATGAAGCAATAAAACCATATAAAAACCTCAAGAAACTTCACGAAAAGAAAAAACCCAAAAGAAACCAACTCAAATCCCGAATTCGATTCCCGGGCATGCAAAAAACTTCCATACAGAAAACAAAAAAACAAAAAAAAAAAACTCAAAGAACTTACGCACCCAAAAATTGGTCAATAAAATCAACGACAAAACTTTTGTTTGGCCAAAGGAGAGTACAAAGGACACCCAGCCACAAAAGCCAAACGAAGACCGAAGAAGAAGCAGCAAGGGAGGGGTGGGGGCTGGGGACATGATATGGATGGAGATGAAGAGAAAAAAAAAGTTCTTTTGCGGGGCGTGTGCGCTCCGAACAAGTGGACAAAAAACATTCCCAGGGCAATAAAAATGACAACAGTTACAAAGTGGCAGTGGCAGTGGCAGAAGCAGCAGCAGCAGCAGCAGCGGTAGATACAAATACAATCACAAATACCTATGAGTATTACAAAAGCCAGAGCAGACAGTGGGCCGGGGGGAGCACACAAAGACGGAGGGAAAGCCAAACAGACAGACACTCACAGTCGCACACTGAGACGGGGATTAAGCCAATTTAACAGATGCTTAAAGTCAGAACACTCGTAATCACATATTGGATTAACGCAGCCTAGTGTGAACCGCGAAGTGACTGACGTATGAGGCGTAAGGGCCACAGTACATACATATGAGCATCCAAAGTGAGTCACAGCCAGGGTGGAAAGAGTCTGAGGTGCGACTATCTGGGGAGTTGGGGGATACCCTGCAGGGAGAGTTTTATGGCTTAAGAAGGAAATCACAAAATACTTTCCTATCATTATCGAAAAGTTCTACATTTATTTCAGAATTCAATCATCTTTAGGTGGATTTTTTTGTATCCCTGTGAAATAGTTCTAATAATCTAGAAATAATTTCTTTTTAATTCCCTCCTATTTTGTAGCGCATTGCTTCATCGGTTAGACCCTAGCATACAAATCTTCAACCAAAAAGTCTTCAAATTTATTTCGTTGACATATGCGGGCTACCGAATACGCGATTCTCTTCTGACTTCTGCCGCCACCGCCATAAGCCCGCATTCTCCCTGCATTTATTTCACTTTTATTTTTTGCTCGTACTTTTTTTTCATTTCAAAAATCGCGGCATAAATTCCCAAAAATATACGAGTACGAGTATATCCACACACACACACAGCCAGTCCGTGGTCTTGGCTCAGCAAATTGTTGGGTCTCTCGCTCTCTTTGGCTTTGGGTTTTTGCTTGTGTCCACAGCTACTTTGTCTTTGGCTGCCGTTTGCCTGCTCTGCCTGCCATGGGGCAAGTCCTTTAGACGACGTCGCATGTTTGCCTTTTTTTGGCACTCTCTTTTTATATGATTTCATTTTTTGTTTCGCCTTGCGTTTACTTTTTGGGTTTGACTTTGCCCATTTGCGGCGTTTTGATATGTTACCCGGTAGCTCGCTGGAGCTCTTCTCCATCTCCATCTCCTTCTTTTTTTTTTGTTGTTCCTTCTGGTGTTGGTTTGTTGCCTGCGGCTATGGCTGGGCGAGGACCCACGATCCACGACCCATACCCGTACCCATCTCCAAATCTGCAATCCTCATACGTAGCTCCCGAAATGAGCCACTTAAAGCGATGAGATTTTTGGCGTCTGACGGCGGCGTTTATCAAATAAATATCTTTCAAATATATAACAAATAATGAAATGCTGTCGCAGTCTCGCAGTCCCAGTCTCGCCGGTTCGATGAGTCTCTCCTCGCATCGAGTGTTATTAATTGTGGGCAATTGATTTGATTTGTTTTGTGGGCTTGGTCTACCCCCCTCAGAGGCAGATAGAGATATCCCATGCATCATCCTTAAATATCATCTAATGTTATCGCATGTGTAAGGACCACCCAGCAGCAGCCCAAACATCATTAGCCGCAGTCTCGCTCCCCCCGGACATCTGGGGTCCATGGGGGGGACAAATGAATTAATTGAAACATTACCTAAGCAAACGTTGAACGAATGAAACCAACCCGAAAGTTCTCAGGCTAATTGAATTTCCTACTCCTCTTCTTCCATGCTGAAAGCTCGCCACTGTCCACGTGTCCTTCCTTGCTCCGCATATCCTTCATCCTTGCTGCTGCTGTTCGTAGAAAAATGTTTGCCTCGCATTTTAAGTGTGGGGTTTTTTTTTTGGGAATTGTTGTTCTGTGTGTTTTCACGCATAAAAATTAAAGTCCCCCCCCGATTTCTCGTCTGTTGTTCTTTTGCCTCTGCAACAATTGGCTTTTGTTGAAAATGTTGGCCATCATTAGTTGGCCGGCTTCTAACACGACATTGATGTGGCTTAATTATGCCAGAGATGATCTGGCTGAGGCATAGCAGCAGCTCACAAGGGAGTACCTACCTTCAATATATTTAGCTCAACATTTCACTTGAGTTTCCCCCTTCAGACTACGCCTGTGCCAGCGCTTTAATTACATTCAGAACAGCTCGAAACTTTTGGTCTCATACGGTAGCCTGGTAATTCATTAAACCTAAACCTAAACTGGCAACAACAGCACAGCTTCATAAAGATTTTGGCCAGCCAAGCCACACCCACACCTACACCCATTCCCCCAACAAAAGCGTTAATGATGGTAGACGATTGTGATTGCTAATGTCCCTGAAATGGTTGGATAGATGGCCAAGGGAAAGATAGAATGAAAGAATGAATGAACAGGAGGGTACGCGAAGGCATCGCCTGGCATGGCATGGCTTTGCCTGGTTGACACTCGTCTCAGAGAGAGTTCAAGTGGCCGCCCGCCCAGTTCACTGGCATCTCAATCTCAAGATTGACTAATGGAGAATGAGCAACGACGACGTGTTGATTGATTGTTTTTCCATGTAAATCGTGGGACAAATTAATCAATGCTAAGGACACTTTTCCACAAAAGTAACGTCGCTGTTGCTGCGTCAAACGGAAATGTCTAGCCGAAAAAGATTGAGAGAGAAAAAAAAGAAAAAGAAAAAAAAGTAGGAAACAAAATTGTCTACAAATTGCATTTTAAGCGGATTCATGGTGCTGGTCGCTGGTCTGCAATGCAATTTTTCACCAAAAGGATTTGGTGTCCTGCGAAGATAACCTTGATTTAGGTTTGCTGTGTTAATTACCCATAAGATATACGTACGTACTTGGGCTCATTAAAATGTACTGGCTACGCACTACGGCCATTTGCGACATTTGCCAGTTGAAATTCTTTATCTTAATCATGATTTTATGCTAATGTGTCGCAGCGTCTTGTAGTAGCTGCAAGATTACAAGATACCAAAGCGGCGACAACTCAACTCTTGCCAGCTGGAGAGCGTGTACACCACAGATACACCAAACTCGACTATGGCCTGCAGACTGCAACTCAGACGCTTTATATTTAGGGAGGGGTGGGGAGGAAAAACCGCGTCGTCGGTTTACGCCCACTTGGCTACTATGTTTTTTGTGTGTGTGGATCATGCCAACCCTTTTGCAGTACCTTGACTTTGTTTTGCCCCCATTCACTACTCACCATTTAGCATATACCATTTACCAGTCGCCTTTGCCTCTTAGCTGCATGTTCGGGGGTGGCTTTGTCCTGCGTGCGTTGCACCTTGGGTGTGGGCTGACTCCGGCAGAACTACTACAAGTGCAAGTACATCTATAATTACGTCACCTTGTGGCAGTCATGGCCCGTAACACCCAACAACTTGCCAGCTAGAAGGGACTGGGCTGCAAAGGCCTGAAGGTTTCACTTTAAAGACTCCTCCGTTTGACCACAACTAAGAGCCGAAGATGCACTGCTTAAACTGTCTCCCACACGACTTGTCAATAAGCTGCTTGCTTTCTTCTAGAATGGAATAAATTGCTCAAAAATTTATAAGCGGCTTCCACGAGCACTTTCGGGTGGGGTTGCTGATGCTGCTGTCCGCCACAGGCAAAGTTTTTCCCCAAAACTTGATTTATATCTGGCACTGGAGTGCCCCTCTGAAGTCGGGCTGCTGCGAGATGGTACCACAAGTTGACACGTCTTGTGGTCAGCCCCAAAAGATAATAACGAGAACGAGAACATGGCACGGCACGGCACGGCATGGCACATGTGAGCTTTTCCCGTTTCCACAATGAAAATTGCAGCCTAGCCTTGGGGGGGGGGGACCGCGCTGCCAGTTATCACAGTTTTTCCTGTTTGACTTGGCCTCGTTTTTGCTGATTTTTCACACTTGCCTGGGCCTGGTCCGTGGGTCCACAGCAACAGCTGGCGGAGGCCAACTGTTTTTCCTTTTTTTTTTTTAATATTATTATTTTTTTTTTGAGTTCCGATTTTGGTCACGTTTGATAAGCTCCAACTAATAATTCATGAATGGACACGCGCATGGGGCAAGCTGTTGCTGCATGATTTTTAAATATGATGCGAATGAGTTTATAAGTTTTGCTTGCTTATTTTTATTTAAGCTGCGTAGAGTCGAACGCTGGAAGGGTGAGGGGTGGCGGCAGTCAGTGCGTTGCGTATCCTCCCTTGGGGGTGGTTTCACTTTGGCTTCGGCTTTGGATTGATTGATGTCTTTGCTGGCAAACGTCTCTCAGACAATCATTAGCTTCGAATTCGTCGATTCCTTTACTCTCTTTGGGTTTGGGTATATCCTCTTCCTCCACTCTGTGCCACGCCCCCATTCACAGGCAGAGTGAGTGGCGTTGACAGCTTGCCAAATTGTCTGCTGAAATTCCTAGTCGCAAGTTTCAGACATCGTCCCATGACCATGACGCATCATTAGCATCCAAGTGCGAGGAGTATCTTTGCATCTATGTATCTGTATCTGTAACTGTATCTGGACAGGGCTCGTGTTTGGATTTGCAATGAAATAGATATTTAATTCTAATTTCAGCAGTGGTTGAAACATTTTCTAAGGCTGCAAGTGGTAGGGAAATCAATAAGAGGTTAACGAACTATTTTACTGACTTAGAATTCCGATCGATAGCTTGGTAAAAGTATTAAATTCAAGCTATAATTTAATACTTCTATGCTTAAAGTTCGTTTGCCATCTAAAGTGCCTCCCATAGCCAGAAGAACGATCACAAAAACCAACATTAAAGCTCCATTTGTGTCAGTCCCACGTAGACGTAGCGAATGCATTAAAAAACCGAAAAAATTATGAATTTCACACTTGCAATTAGACAACTTCCCTATCGATCACCAATCACTGGTAGAACATCGTTAGTCGAGTGCAAATGGCTCTTAGAAAGCTCTCCTGTTGTTGGGCTCTCCTGCTGATCTTGGGCTGCCACCAAGTGGCGCCCATTGCTGGCAGTTCGGTGGTTGTGGGCGATCACAACATCGACCAAATACTCGAGTCGAACGAACTGGTGCTGCTCAACTTCTACACGGAGTGGTGCCCCTTCAGCATCCGACTGGCGCCCATCTTCGAGGAGGCGGCCAGGCAGGTATATGCCACGTTCCCAGAGGCGGGACGGGTGACAGTGGGCAGGGTGAACTGCGATACGGAGAAAAATGTGGCCAACAAATTCGACATTATCAAGTATCCCACGCTGAGGGTGGTGCGCCATGGACAGATGGGCAGGAGCGAGTACCGTGGCCAGAGGTCGGTGCAGGCGTTCTACCAGTTCGTGGAGCAGGAGCTCGCCGATCCCGTCCGGGAGTTCCTCACACTCGAGGAGCTGCATTATATCAAGGACGACACCGGCGTTATTGTTGGCTACTTCATGGACAAAAATAACGCGGACTATGAGAACCTACGCAAGGTGGCGAGCATTTCGAAGAGGGAATGCCGGTTCTATGCGGGCTTTGGCCAGGTGTCGGAGGGACTCCATCCGGCTGGAGAGAATACGCTCATCTTTCGCGCCGATGCCACAAAGTCCAGCCACAGGGAGTACTACAGCGAGTACACGGGCAGCATAAGCAACTTTGACGAACTGCTGACCTGGACGGATGAGAAGTGCATCCAGCTGGTGCGGGAAATCACCTTCGACAATGCCGAGGAAATCGCCGAGGAGGGTCTGCCCTTTGTCATGCTCTTCTACAACAAGAACAACCTGCAGCCCGTGATGGAGTTCAAGACGGTGGTCGAGACCAAATTGTCGCATACGTCCATGGTCAACTATTTGACGGCCGATGGTGAGCTCTTCACGCATCCGCTGCATCATCTGGGCAAGACCATGGCCGATCTGCCCGTCATAGCCATCGACTCGTTCCGCCACATGTATCTGTTTCCCCGCTACGAGGACATCCACAAGCCGGGCGTGCTGCAGGAGTTCGTCAATGATCTGTTCACTGGCAAGCTGCACCATTACTTCCACTACGGTGGCGAGCTACCCACAACGATGTGGGAGAATGACACAACCCAGGACGAAATTCTTGCGGCTGTGGTGCCCGAATCGCAGTTCAAGCAGCTGCTGCCCTCCCCGCATCGCTACACACTGATCAACCAAACCAAAGATGAGTTGTAGCTCTAAATAGAAATGTTAATTTCGCAACCATTGAATATTAAAGGTTTCCTAGGCTAGATTCCCAGCAGCAGCGGCAGAGGTGAAATATTTCCACAGCTCCTTTCTGGGGCGGCCTGGCCAGAGAGCGGCATTGAATGCCCGTTTCGGGCGGCTGTGACAAATCGAACACCCATCCGATATGGACATTGCTGCTCCACAGTCCGACGCGTGCCTCGATATCGATATTTCCAGGAAGCCCAAAGCAGCAGCAGCAACAGCAGCATCAGCAGTCCAGAATGGCAGTTGGAATGGTCATTCCATTTGAATACGAGTATTCATGCTGGCAGACTGGCAGACGGCTCGAACCATATAAATGCTAATAAACTCATTAGTCAAGCATTTTAGCACTCAAATCTCACATAGTGCAGTGCGTTGCCAGGCTTTAAGGCAGCTTTAAGCCAGAGAATAAGCCAATTTCTATTGCATAATGAGTGCATAATTAGCAGAGCTCTTTATTCCAATGTATTCTTGGATATGTGTGGCATGTTTCTGGCAAATCCTCGAGGGAGTGCACCATTCCGCAGCACTCCGCTTATGGCTACGCCTCAGAGCAAACACTTTTACTCCAATATTGTCATATTTAATAATATTTTTATGGTCATATATCTGTAGACAAACGAGCGTGACTCGAAACGACTGGAGACTAGAGACTGCAGACTGCAGGCTGAAGTCGAAGATAGAGAGTCGACTGCAGCAGCCTGCAGCTGCCTCTAATCAGCGTCAGGAGCGCGTGCCAGTCGCGTTGTCACCTGCACAATTATAGAATTTTCCATAATCGGGCAATGCGCGGCCACCAAAATGGCAAGACTCCAAAAAGGTGCGCCACAGCGCAGAGCACAGACCAAGAGCGAGCTGTGAGCTGAGAGCTCTCTGTGTCCGCGCGAGAAGTGTCCGCCATAAATAACTGCCAATAAATGTCAACGTTTTTGGCGCATTAACATAACAGCTAAGCCGATTTCGTTGACAGGTGACTGTCTGTCTCTCTCTGTCCCAGCCAGCCAGCCATCCATCCATCCATCCAGTGCCTGCTGCCATCATTATTTTCTCTGCTCGCATCTTCTGCACAATTGAAATAATCGTCTTTTAATCGCCTACGCCTCGACGGACTGTCTGGGCCTCCAATTACCGCTTCAATCGTTAACTTCTGAGGCTGTCTGAGGCTGGGACTTAGCTTGGGTGCCAAGACGATCTCTAGTTGAATTGGTCTTCAATGGTCTTGCTGGATGCTGTGGATGCTGAAGCTCATCAAGGCAGATCGACCATCGGCCGCGGAGGAAGTCACGTGCGGAAGTTTTTTTTTTTTTTTGGGAAAACTTTCTCAGTTTTAATGGATCGTTGTTCTAAATTAGAGTACCAGAAAACTTCCGTTTATAATTTGGAGTAGAAAATTTCACTGGTGCTCGTATTAGCCCAGTTTCGTAGAATTTTCCGCCCATTTCCTGTATCCTAAAGCAAAGTCTCTTCTGCAGCACAGTTACAAGTGCAATTTGCAGCCTCCAAATGTGTGATATTTCAATTAAAATTTAACGGCGCAAGTCATTAAATGACAAATACAACTTGCATTGCCGCAGCAGAGCGGCTGGGGCCGAGGGGCAAGCAAGATGCCACAAAAAGAGCTGAAATGTCAGAGCACAGCGACAGATGGACAGGTGGACAGACGACCTATCGACAATAACAACAACAACCATTTGAGTGGAGAGCTCAACATATTCAAAGTTGTGCACGAGCGGGATTCCAATTTCATTTTGTGCTGCTCGATGGCAAAGAAAACGCAACAAAAAAAACAAAACAAAGCAGAAACCGTTTGCTCGTCCAACGTGCAACAAATAACGAAACGAAAAAAAAACACAAACAAAACGTTTTTGTTTAATTAAATTAACAAAATACGCGACGGATGAACAGCAGCAGAGACAGAGACAGAGTCAGAGGCGCAAAAACTCAGTTATTTTGCACGCAGGCCAACACGCCAACACGTGTTGCAAGGGCCCGGCCGCCGCCTGGCTAAGAGAGAGCGCTGCCTGCCACAGGCTCCACACGCGCTCTCTTAAGGCCCAGAGGCTTGCTCGCTCGCACCAGCAGCAAGCTCTTTGGCTGTCTCACTCGAGCCTCCATTGCAACGACTGCCTCTCGCTCCCACCTGGGGGTAGCGTATGCCATGCCCCATAGCCGTCTCACTCGTTGGCTGCCTTCAGTCCGCTTTGGCCAATCCGGAGCAAGCGCTTCAATGCGCCATGCGCGCATACAACAAAAAGGCGGAGTCCGGTTTCGGACCTTCAATGCAGTTGCCCCTCGCCCTCGCTTCCCACTGCGGTGGCCAGCCCTATAGCCTGCCCCTGCGCCATTGCCGCTTCTGTCGGTTCTTCTGGATGTCTGTCAACCATTTGGCGTCCATGACCAACCATGACGGCTGCTCTCGGCCTGGCTATGGCTATGGCTTTGGCTTTGGCTTCACTGCGGCTGGCCTTTTGACATTTCGCTCGGAGGCAATGAAGTCCATGGCGCCGCACAGTTGCATCTGCAACCGCCATGGCATCTGCAGCAACATCACTTATCTGTCCGGCAGCGGTTTGAGGCGAGAAATAAATATCTCATCATGCAACTGGAGTAGAATTTTGTATGGCATTGCGGTTGCAAATGATAAATTTTGAAATTTAAATGGAAGTTCTGGTGTTTAAGTGTTCGCTGGAGTCGATTTAATGACTTTTGCTAAAGAATTTCCAAATCTAAGTTGCTTATAAAACAAACAGAGAAGTTTAAGATAATATTTGCATGAAATCCAAGGATTTTGAATTTTCTTAAGCAAACATTTCACTGAATAACTTTTAAAATTTAAGATTTTTAACTCATGCAAAAATTTGGCCCAAGAAATCACTTTCTTGATTTAAGTACTTTAAAATATCTAAATGCTTGAGTAGAATGCAGAGATGAATTCCTATAAGCTAATAGGATTTTACCGACTCAAAATCCGTAAGAAAAATACGTTTCCCCTGCTCGATTTCTGGTCAGATAAAACACAAAAATTAATTTACAACTAGTATTCCATTTGCTTGTGTTATTTGAGCTATTGCTGCCGTAGGATAAATAAAAATTGTTCCACAACAAATCTATTCAATTAATAAAACAAATTTTTTTCTACAAAACCCAACATTCATGGCTGCCTCTTATCATATTTAAATCGCTTCAAATGTCCGCTCGTATGCAAATACCAAATGACATTGATGACAGTGCAAACAAGGAAATTTGTATGGCACTCAACTAAATGAAAACCCGCACGAAAACCACATACAAAAAAAAGGGGAAAATGCTGCCAAATGACAAGCCATAAAAAATAGGTAATTGCAGTGGGTGGGTGGCAATTAGGTGGCATAATCAAATTAGTCGATAAACTGCAAGGGAAACTGGAGGACATCAATATGATGTGCAATGCAGGGGCTGTGGCAGCGGCAGCCAATGGCGGACCACCTCCCGACGGCAGACCCATGGCAGAACACAGCGCTAAATGAAGCAATTTCCTAGTAATTCAAAAATGGAGAAGCCTGCAACATTGTGGGAGAGGGGCAATGGCAGTGCCTACAGCATATTTGACATACTCCATTCAGACCTATGGGTATTCTGCGGCCCAGGTGGACGACGAGCCAATTGCATTGATTAACTGAAATAAACGGCCCTACTATGCCTGCAGGAGCTCCTCTGCCCATTTAATTTCATGTATTTCGACTGGCTCTGCTGCACCCCCAGGGACTGACAGTTGCAGTTGTCACAGAGCCGAACCGGGGGCCGAAAATCGGGCAAAAATCTCCCTCCTGGCGATGGCCGATTCCCACCCGCCAGCGACACATGTCTGCTGTGCCCATAAAAAATGCCATGTCAAAAAGGAAAACAAAAAAAGAAACACAACAGAATACGTACAAAAAAAGAATGCCAATCCAAAGGCGAGCAGCAGAAAAAGAAATAAACCAAGTGCTCCAATAAAAATTCCACCGCCTTCGCCTGAATGCCGCACTGCTCGCACACTCGCACATACCCCATTCCTATCTCTCCGTCTCCCTCTCTCTCTCTCTCTCTAGCATGCTCTCTCTTTCCTTTTGTCTCTCTTTTTTGTGCTGTAGACTTTTTTAAGAGCGCGTTGCTGGTTTTTTGTGCTGCGTGCTCTTGAGCTTGGTTTACATTGCGTATGAGTGATATGCTTTTTTCCGCCTTTGGTTTGCCGCCGCGGCGGTTGAAATGAATATGTGTGTGCGATTATTAGCTGTACAAAAAATTGCAATCCGTTTTTTTTTTTGTGCGCTGCCTTTTGCGGGGTTTTTGTGGATTTTTAATTTGAATATTACATGTATTAAAAACTCATTACTACGCGTACGATGCGCCATCGAAGTTGGTCAATGGGCTAATGGACGACGGATGCGGATTTTTTGTGTGTGTGTGCGGTTTTTGCTTGAAAATTATGAAAATTATGCACTTGACGGGGGGATGTAGATGTCGAAGGTTTTTTCCTTCATTTCACTTTTGATATCTCTAACACAGTCAGCAGCAAATGTCGACGAGCGATACTCTTGACTATCCAGAGTCCGGTAAGCCGTGCCATTATTTATACCGTTGCAACAATTCTGCATGCTGCTGGACTATGACCAAAAAAAGATCATTGTGTCCCAGAAGATGGTACAGCCAGTGGTGCCTTCCAGCGTTTGGCTTTGTGACGGTGACTCCCTCTAATTGCGCTCTGACAGGAGAGCGGCGTTCTAGGCCCATTGCCACCGCTGGTTGCCAGCTGAATGTTGCAAAGTAAAGCAGATACAAACAAAATCACAGCACTCGCCATTCATCCGATTCTATATTTTTCTATGCACTCAAATTTAGATTGCATCCGAAATTGTTTCTTAATTCACAATAAATATGCCCGTCAGAGAGCGGGCGATGAAGCTGCCAATGCAAAAGAATATGATCCCTCGACCCAATTGCCAATAGCTACGACCGTCATTATCTTTATCTTTATCTGCGTTTTGCTTTTCCGACGATTTGGGTTTGGAATCACCTATG